CGCCATTGCTTATAAAATGACTCGGACGCAAATGTGAGTCTTGAAATCGCAAGGGAAAAATCGTCCTATTAGAGCTCGACTTTTCCGCGGTTATCGTATTTTAATTGGTGGATTTGTCTCTCAACTACGATAGGGCGTCGCGCGATACAAATTGTTGAACAGTGAAGCGCTCGGCCTGTAATGAAAGGAGTTGTTGCATCGGGTCTCTGTCAGGCAGGGTATGAACAATTATCCCGTCGGTTTGATATGCTGGTTGTCTACGTCCATAGGTTGGTGTGTGGTGATAACTGGGGTATGGTGTAAGGCTCCACCATGACCCCTGTGTGTGTGTGATGATAACTGGAGTATGGTGTAAGGCTCCACCATGTTGCTGTCTTCATCATACTCTGTTAGTGACCACCCTTCCATCTCTTGTAGCAGCACACACACACACACACACACACACACACACACACACACACACACACAATCTCCGTACCCACGCTAGTCAAGTCTCCCAACAGGTCACTTATAACACTCCAGCTACAGTGAACACATCTCAATGGAACGGTACATAACTAAATGCCATTACAGTATGTACCGGCTACTAGACATAAACCAACACTGTCTTCTACTAACAAGCTCATTTACACCCCTCAGTAATACCCTCTACTGTGCCAGCCATCACTGCAGAGATTGACTGTAAAAAACTTGTTACATTTTTCAGGTTCATTTATATTTTATTACCAGACGGATGGCTTTTTTCTGTTTACATTAGCCAGGTCTGTCCTTCACGTGTCTTTTGGCTGTCACGTGTCATCTAGCTGCCACGTGTTGTCTAGATGTCACGTATCGTCTAACTGTCACGAGTTGTCTAGCTGTCACGTGTCGTCTAGCTGCCACGTGTCATCCAGCCGTTCACATGTCGTCTAGCTGTCACGTGTCGTCTAGCTGTCACGTGTCGTCCAGCCGTTCACATGTCGTCTAGCTGTCACGTATCGTACCTCAGTCCTGTTCATCACTAGTGGGGGAAATTAACTCTAAACTCACTTCATTATCAACCACTCCCCTCACGTCTTCCTTACCTCACTCCTTGCCTCACCTTTCTCTCAGGTGATTTGTCTCTTCTCTCCATCTATTTTCCCCTCACTGTTTCTAAGGGTCAGTTTGCTCATGATACATCTATCACGCCGACCCCCTATCCTGCCTTTCACTCCTGGACTCAACACAAGTCTACCTATCATGTTCCTCCTTAACGTGAGTTCCTTTCAGTCGACGTTTATTATCGACCGTTTTTTTATTATTTTCACTCCCCGTCTTTCTTGTTAATCTCTCTCTCTCTCTCTCTCTCTCTCTCTCTCTCTCTCTCTCTCTCTCGGAATATGAAAAGAGTAAATGGAAGGGAATGTGGGAAAGATCCTGCTGGAGGTTGAGGGAGGAGAAGAGAGGAAGAGAGGAAGAGGAGAAGAGAGAGAGAGAGGAAGAGGAGAAGAGAGGAAGAGGTGGTGGTGGAAGGCTGAGGGAGGAGGTGGAAGGTTGAAGGAGGAGAAGAAGAAAAGAGGAGGGAAATCTATAATAAGAAGAAGGAAGAAGAATAAGAAGAAGAACTTAGCCCTAGGAGGTACTGTAGTACTCGTGGGGAATATGATACAGTGTACTAGAGGAGGTGTAACTAAAGGGTAAGGAGAAAGAAGGAAGGAAGGAAGGAAGGAAGGAAGGAAGGAAGGAAGGAAAGAAGGAAGGAAGGAAGGAAGGAAGGTAGGTAGGTGGTGTAGGTTAGGTTAAGGGGACATGACCGCTGGTGATGGATGGCACACCGACGATTTCATTAAAAAACAAAAACCAAAAAAACCAACACGTGGAGAGGGAGATAAACCATTTTTCTAGTGAGACATTAAAGATAAACCACTAGATTAATTGGCCGTCTCTCTCCCCGGGACAGTCTTGAGGCGTGAGGATAAATATAATCCATCGTAGCTCTTTAAAAGGCGAAAGTTGCGTTAACCGAGTGCTGCTGAGCGGAGAAGATGAGGTAGGCGGAGGGAGGGAGGGAGGAGCTTTAACTGTGTCTGTCTGTCTGTTTCTCAGTTCTGTTGGTTCATATCTCTCTCTCTCTCTCTCTCTCTCTCTCTCTCTCTCTCTCTCTCTCTCTCAGCTCACCATAGACTGATTTGAATTGACCTGTCTCGTCATTTATATAGACTGGTGCGTTACCACTTACCATTCACAGTGTTTTTATCTGCAGTCACGGGATTCAAATATAAGCCTTCTATTGGCCTATATATGTCGTTTATATAACCATTTATACAACCTGACGTCTTAGAACCAGTTTGTGTATTTAACTTTAATTAGAAAAAGAAAAACTGTTCCAGACTGTAATTTATTATGGAGTTAACAGAAGGAAAAGTCTTAGTCCGGGAATATTAATAGAAATGTAATCCTCTGAATATTCAATTAATAAAGGTGAAATGATGGATGGAATCAGGGTGACTGTGGGCTGCCGATTCAAGGCGTCACTGTGATCCGCTTAATGGCGTGTGTCACAACAATTTAGGACATGACACAGTGAGACATCCAGTCATTGTGAAGATGGGAAAGACGAGATATTTCCCCAAAGAAAAAAAAATCATCGTAATTGAAACAACACAGAAGTAATGAAAAAAAAGTTTTACATGGCCGAGTCAATTTTTTCAAATATACCCTAAAAACATTTCCGAATATGTAACAACCAACCTAACCTAACCTAACCTAACCTAACATAACCTAACCTAACCTAACCTAACCTAACCTAACCTAACCTAACCCAACCTAACCTAACCTAACCTAACCTAACATAACCTAACCTAACCTAACATAACCTAACCTAACCTAACCTGCTGCCATATTCCCAAGTTTGTTGTCGTGAGTCCCTGTTGAATTATCTTGATATGTTTATTATTATTATTATTATTATTATTATTATTATTATTATTATTATTATTGTTTTCTCTTAATCATTGCGCCTTTGTTCGCTATATATCTGACTGGTTTGTTTACCCTGTGTCCAAATTTAACTCATGGTTTGGCCACTAGGGGACAAGAGTTAAAACCTGAGCACAATAAGTTATATTTGTACCAGGTAACTCTTCATAATTTTATTGGGCATTAATTTTGACTGTGGCTCAGTTGTTGACGATATTGAAGTCTCCCAGTACCTGAAGTCTCCCAGTACCTGAAGTCTCCCAGTACCTGAAGTCTCCCGGTACATGAAGTCTCCCGGTACCCGAAGTCTCCCAGTACCCGAAGTCTCCCGGTACCCGAAGTCTCCCGGTATCCGAAGTCATAATTTCCATACATAAATACACCAGTTAATACACCAATTAATACACCAATTAATACACCAATTAATACACCAGTTAATACACCAATTAATACACCAATTAATACACCAGTTAATACACCAGTTAATACACCAGTTAATACACCAGTTAATACACCAGTTAATACACCAGTTAATACACCAATTAATACACCAGTTAATACACCAGTTAATACACCAGTTAATACACCAGTTAATACACCAGTTAATACACCAATTCATTCGTCATATTTAATGTTTTTGTCGTGTCTAGTGTTTTCTTCCTGTGTGGGTTTCCGTGTGGTGTTGTCATGTTGGTGCTAAATAGATCCAAGGCAGCCGAGGTACTGGGCGAGACTACAAGACCTACTGGTTGATCGCTTTATAATTTCTTCCTTCCCTCTCCTAACTCCATTTCCATTCTCTTTCCCTCCCTCACTCTATTCTTTTCCTTTCGCCTCCTCTCCCTTCCCTTTCCCTTCCTCTTCTCTCTTCTTCTCTCCTCTTCCCTCACTATCCCTTTCCTTCCCCTCCTCGCCTTAAACTTCTTCCCGACAACACCTCCCGTCTCTCTCTCTCTCTCTCTCTAACACATCCCTACTCCTCAGCCCTCATCCCTAACCCCATGCTTACTCCCACAGCCCCGATCCCTCCGCCTTGACTCACTCAGCCCCCACCATCCCCCTAGCCTCTCTAGCCCTCACCCCACCATCCCCCTCCCCCTCCCTGACTCATCCTTTCTTAAACTATTCCCTGAAACACTTACACACATAATTGACTATTAGAACACCACAGAAATCTACTACACACTTTAGTCATTCGTTTATTTTCTATTTTTGTTTGTAGTTTCCGTAAAGTGAGGAAAATAGAAGGAAAACAATTGTTGTATGATTTATCGTAAAAACAGTTTTGAGAATAATAAATAACGGGAAAATGAATTAGGTCTGTTGTGTGTTGGTTGGTCGTGACGTCATCAAAATGCCCGCGTGCCCTTTGCAGTACTTCGAATTTCATTGAACTCTAATACAGTGTCTAGTCCCTATGATTGATTAATACTATGTAAATGATTCTTCTTAATTTATGCAATTCAATTACAATGATAACGATTGGAGATTGATGTGATAAAATAAATAAATATAAGTATTTAAATGACTGATATATTAGTCCTATCTCCCTCCCACCCTTCTCGCCGCCTGACCAGTGACGTCATAGCCAACCTCGCGATGGATGATGTTGGAGCCAGATTTTATATATTACAATTATATTTTTGAAAAGTGGATAATTGTAGACCAGCGTTATTATTATTATTATTATTATTATTATTATTATTATTATTATTATTATTATTATTCCTTAATATTTGTAATTTTGAAATATGTTCTTTATTTATATTGAAATCATTTGAAATATCTTTATTAGTGTTCAGAATAATGCTTTTGGAAACATTAATTTTTGTTAGAGTATTATATATGGTATATTTTGATCTTATTTATTATTTACTGTATCTAGGATTTTTTGAGAACTATTATTGGAAGTGAATTGCTATTTTATTGTATGGCCACACAGTATAATTGAATGTCTGTACGTTTGTATGTATGTAAGTTTCTATATATGTAGGTATGTATGTGTATATGTGTAAGTATTTTTAATGTTTTTATTTATCTAATAATGTGTTATTTTCCAGACAAGGTAAGGTGGCTGACTGTCTCACTTACCACACGAGTATCCTGCCAGCTGCAGTGAGTACCTTGCTGTCCACTGTTCACTCTGATTATGTGAGTGTGTGCTTGTTTACCCGAGTGTCTTGTTGTTTACTGCTTAAGTGCCTCCCTGCCTGCCTGCCCGTCTGCCTGCTTGCCCTAATGCTTCCTTTCTCAGCCTACTCGTTTGTCTGTATGCATGTGCGTTTGTAGTTGCATTGTGCTTGCTTGCGTGTCTCTGTTACAGGTATGCATGATTGCTTGTTTCCTTTCGTGTGAGAGTTCTGGCTTCCTGACTTACGTGTGTGACTGTGTGTGCGTGTGTACTTGCTTGCCTGCATAGATAAGTATTTTTAGTGTTTGCTTGCGTGAGTGCTTGCCCTCTTGCCTGCTTACGCGTGGTTAAGTGACTCAGTGTAGCATTGTGTTGGCCCGAGCTCGATCTCCAGGCTACCCGGTTGGTTTCTCTGACAGTCCAGGTTAAATTGTCAAGTAAAATATGCAAGAGTAAACCATGTGTGTGCGTGTGTGTGTGTATGTATGTATTATGTTATGTGTGTGTATGTGTGTGTACGATTTCAAATAACTGGCGGTAGAAAATAGGAAGAAAAAATATATAGCCTATATAAAAACAAAAAAATATTTTGTAATATATTTTAATTATACTTATTATATAATTTGCTTTAGGCGAACATCTTTTGTGATAAGATATATAAACTGATGGAAATAAAAGTATAGAAACAAAGTATAGAATTTATCCACTTACATTTCGACACAATACTTTCACTATCTAGTAAGTTAAGTGTCCAAACAGATGCTTTCGTAACATAAGGCAGTAAAGTGAATTTGTAATGTTTTTTTTTTTCCCTATGCACTTTGTAACAGACGTGTGTATACATATATATTGTTTCCCTCCTGATTGCCGCCAGCATTCATGCATGTGTGAGTGAGTGAATGAGTGACGGCTTGTATTATTGAGTGACGGCTTGCATATACTACGTGTACGTGCGATGGTGAGTGACGGCTTCCAATGTATGTGTTTGTGAGTGACGGGTTGTGTGTTTGTGATAGTGAGTGACTGCTTGTGGGCGTGATTTACTGAGTGACGGCTTGTAGGCGTGATTTACTGAGTGACAGCTTGTGGGCGTGATTTACTGAGTGACGGCTTGTAGGCGTGATTTACTGAGTGACAGCTTGTGGGCGTGATTTACTGAGTGACGGCTTGTAGGCGTGATTTACTGAGTGACGGCTTGAGTGCGTGATTCAGTGAGTAAGCCAGTGAGGACGACCAGCTGTTCCTTGCTAGTGGGTGTCAGGATCTAGCGAGTGGGTGGGTACCACTAGTTAACTGGCAACAAGAAACCAGTGCGCGGCGACAGATTTTCAACAAAGACTAAACGTAATATCTCAGCAATATTTCCACCTCAGAGAATATAGTGATGTCTGCGGTGTTTGGTGGCAGAACTGAATGAGAGGGAAACATAAACAAGTTAAAATAGTTTGTTTAGCTGTGAATTATATAATAGAATAATACCACCTGTGTTGTCAGAACCCAAGAGCATTGGTATCACCCATCGTGGCTCTGACCGCCGTAAAACCAGTCATTGTTATATAGATCGTACACTTGAAAGTAGTTATGTCGTATACCAGAGTCAAGTTTGCTCGTGGTTTCCCATAATAAGAATTTGGAAGAGACGAGAACGTTTATTTGAGTGCCTGTGGATTAGCGCCGTTAACATTATCACTCAGAGGGAATGGTTAAGCTAGGACGGTTCTGATCCAAGTTACGTTCACTGTTGTGTGTATCGTAAACTGAGACTAACAGAACGCGATACAATAACGGAGAAGTACTTGTGTGATGGTAATGCGGACCCTCTAGCTCCCACCCACTACAGCCGCGGCAATGACCCCGAGATGTGCTGTTGTGTAGCTGGCTCTCTCTCTCTCTCTCTCTCGTCATCCTCTTTGCAGGTCTGCCGTAAACAAGTATTTATTTTGTCGCTGTTCTTCTGTTTATTGTAGGCTTCATCACACAGCTTTATTCCCGTCAACTTTTTACTTCCCTGCATCTCTCTCTTTCTTTGTTTGTCTTACTCTTATATCCTCCCTTTCTATTTGTTGTTCTCTCAGCCCCTCTTGTTCTGGCCTTACCCCCCACCCCCCCTCCACCACCCCCGTCTTCTCCACCTTCCACACTAATACATCTCTTGCATCTTTCCATGTGTTCCTCCGTTTCCATAGTAACAGTTGAAAACTCCTCATATCGGGACACAGGAATGCTAGTTGAATAATTTAGCGAGGAACGGGAGAGGCATGTGTGTGGTGTTGCTGATGGGGAACAACACTCGCAGGGGCCAGACTCCTTGTGATGATGAAATGATGGAAGAATTTATCTATTTTTTTTATGCTTCTGGCTGCAGCATGACAAAGAGATACAATGAATGTTAGATTAGAAGAAGGATCCGATATTATGGTTCGTCTGGTGAAGGTTGGGTAGCTGCCAGAGCTTTGTATTTACACTCTGGTGAGAGAAATTAGATAAGGTGCTCATGGCATCCGGGTCCTGTCCTCGATCTTATACTCGGCCACGTCAGAATTTTTGAAATGCTTTTCTCCGATATAGCAGCAGATTCCTGAGCGAAACGGCTGGAGAACGAAAGCTTTCAGCACGAATATTTGAGATCAGTGTTTTGCATAATATGGGCAGTCAGTCGGTGGGTTGTGTGTGTGTGAGTGTGAGGAAGGAGGAGGGGGTCGTGTACAGGCCACCAAGACAGTGTGGAGTTGGTAGTGAAGGGTGTGAGGGGATTACAGGAGAGACACACACATCTCTTTCAGGTGTTGTCTCCATAGAGTCTCGTATGTCTCCCGATGGTAAAGTACAGTACTATAGAAGATAAAACATAACACATTTCTCCTTATATTTATGTCTCTTTATTAAAAAAAGAAGTTTAGTACATATTTTTTATTTTTTTTTACATATGTGTACCGTATTATATGTATATTGATTTACTGAAGAGTGTTTGGTTCATCAATAGTTCAGTCTCTGTGTACTGACTGATACACACACACACACACACACACACACACACACACACGGTATTGTACGAGTCCATATTTTAAGATTAATATCATTGGGTGTCAATTGTGTATAACTCTTACATTATATTATATCAGTAGTAGATAAACACGACCATTTACAACATCATTTAACTTAACCTCATAATATCATTCCACTGTCTCCCCACACCTCCCCTGGACATGTATATATCCTGGTCATGTATAGATCCTGTTAGTATCGAGTTACTTATACGTCCTCCTGAAGTGTATTCTAGTGCCTTATCAGAGGGGCACTGTATGAAGTGTCTTGTAACTGTATGTATTTCACTGAGGCTCGTTGTGATTGTATATGTGTCTGTAAATGTCACTGAAACTTACTGTAACTTTTCCTTCTTACCTACCGAAACTCTGTAGTCTAATCTTACTTGTAGATTTGACTGAAATTCGCTGAAGCTCACTGAGACTCCCACTTCTTACGCACACATCTCACTGAAACTCACTGTAACTCCCCCTTCTTACTTACTGAAACTCTGTAGTCTTTCTTACTAGTAGATCTTACTGAAATTCGCTGTAAAATCGTCTTAACGTTAAAAAATCTTGTTTATTACACCTTTCTTGTCAATATTTCGATGACAAATAAAGTCAAATTACATCGAAGACCAATCTGACTAACACCTCTATGATCCAGTGAGAAGGGCGAGATTAATTATACAACTATATTGCCTTACACTTCTTCCTTCCACTCACTTAAAGCAGCAGCAATTATGGAGCCAGGGTGTCGAGATGGGTGTGTGTGTACAGGTGTGGTACCTTGAGGCTGCTGTTGGGTACTGTGTGGCCAGGAGAGGAGAACCACGTTTTTTTTTTTCCCTTGGTAGTGTCTGGGTTGGTGATGGAAGTGCGGGTGACCTCGGGAAGAGTCACTTGGTTGTTGAGTGGCATGACTGGTGTGTAATGTGTGTGTGTGTGGTAGTGGGTGTTGGTGCAGGGGTATTGTAAGGGTGATGGTGATGGTGGTGAGAGCGGGTAGGAATGGTGATGAGTGTGAGTAATGGTGATGGATGCGGGTAGTAGTGATAACGGGTGCAGGTAGTAGTGGTGGTAGATGCGGGTAGTAACAATAGTGGTGGTGGTATAGAGGCAAACGGTGGCGGGCAGAGGCAGGGGCAGCAAGCAGCTATCGCCGTGTTGGTATAAATTGGCGGTATTCTTCACAGCTATTATCAGCAAGTTGAAGCAGTCAGACTCACCTCTCTCTCATGCCTCCTGCTTCTCTTACTGGACATTATACAACTTCCATCTCTCTCTCTCAGTATTAATTTGTCTATGTACTGTTTCCTTGGTGGAGTTTAGTCTTTTTCTGCACCTCGTCTCATTTACTTGGTGCCTCACTAGATCCCTTAAATCCTTCATCCTCCTTGGTCATTACTCACCCCCAGCTTCTCCTCCAAGGGATCCTCTACCTCCTGCTCTTCCTCCTCCTCTTCCTCGTCCTCCCCGTCTTCCTCCTCCTCCTCCTCCTCTTCGTTATTGTACTTGTTGTTCGGTTTTTTTGTGCTTGTTCATTTTTGTTATTGTTCGTTCTTTCGTTCTTCTTCTTGTTCTCCACTTCTTTCCTCTTCTTTCTTTCTTTCTTCTTTCATCCTCCTCTTCCTCTACTCTTCTTCGTGAGTTCTTGGTTTCGCAATATTATTTCCCTTTTCCACTCCCTCCATCCCTCCCTCCCTACTCCACATTCTCCCTCCCTTCACATGCTACCTCCCTCCACATTCTTCCTTCCTCCTCCACATTCTCCCTGCCTCCTCCTCATTCTCCCTCCCTCCTTCACATGCTCTCTTCCTCCTCCATATTTTTCTTCCCTCCACACCCTCCATCCTTGCTTTAGTAACATTGTTCCCCCGTCACACCTTCCCTCCACCACACCTTCCC